ATATATATCGGGAAGGGAATTTCTCGGTAAGTTAGCTTCGCTAGTTGCTGATGTTTCTGTTGGTTATCATCGTCTTCTGACCCCGCCGTGGGACCTTGGCCATTGGCTAGATCATGATATCTTAGGCGTGGCTCGTCCACGCCGTGTGATGCACTAGTGTCCGTTAAGCTTCGACCTCTTATCTTGTACCAAAAAAAAATGAACAAAAAGACTGATCACTGAAGGACACAAACAAATATCATTGGAGATTTTTGTGAGCTAACATTTGTTTGTGTCTGAATATTTCTTTCTCCTCTTCAAAAGAATTGGAATATGGGCAAAATTTGCAAAATGATCCTTCAACTTTTATGGTCCTTCACAATTACGTTGCTGTTATTACGATCTCATTCCAAAACAACAACTTTTTTTTTTATTGAAACGACTCAACTTATAGATAGGTCGATCGGGTATATTTATACTCTGAAATGTCATATTTTTATTTATATATATATATTTTTTTTAATAATTTAACATTTTTTGTAAATTCACACTATGGAAAGTTAATAGTATTATGTGTTCAAACAATTTTAAAATGAGGGGACCATTTTAGCAACAAGCTATATGAAGTGGACCATTTCTTAAATGATCCATTTTTGCAATTACCAATAATAAAAAGGGGAGTTATTATGTCAAATATCCTTCAATAGAACTTTGCCATATAATATCTGACTTGTACAATCGACCAAACAAGTTAGCTAAATAAAATAAATCCCATCTATCTTCTTATCACATTCATGTGGCCTTTATTTCTCAACCATGCAACCCATTGATTGACATAAATATATGTTTTTATTTCTTATTATCAAATTTAGGTGACTTTTTTAATATATATATTTTTTTTAAAATTTTTAGGTTTACGAGGAATCATATTAAGTGAGATTCAGAATGTGATTCGTATATACCTATAGATTTGAAAGCTCAACAAACCTTAAATAGTCATATCGATTTTCAGTCTCAAATAAGTTAAATAGTTCAAAATTTTTAGAAAGATTTTTGTAATTTCAATGAATATTTGGAGACTTTTAAAATGTTTAAAAAATAAAGCTAAATAAGCATAATCTATGAATATTTTCAATAGTCTTTAAAAATCGCAAACGAATACCCACCTTAAAAATGTCATTTTTTTTTTTTTTTTTTGTTTATAAAAATCACTCCACTAACCAAGCTTATAAGCCCAATTATTAATACAATGTATAATCCAAGAGTCCATTTGATATATAAACTTGGACCATGGTCTCTGACCCACATTCAGTATAATACATTAGATTGGCCCTTTAGTGCAAAATTTGTCCCCGATCCACTTTGGAATATATCTTTAACTGACCTTCACTTCACTAACTAGTGACAGATTACGTTGGCTATCTTATAAAGGCCCAGAATTGGCCCATAACAGATAATGGGCCAAACAACATTACTAAATTAAGTGGACTAATAAGGCCACATCGAACCACCTTCGACAATCAACGTCGACCCTTTCTTCTCGGCTTAAATAATTTATCAAAAAAATCCATATATACCCTCTCACCATTCATATCGTGACAAATTTTAAATTTAATATAAATTTTCGTTAATTAATGCATTAAAAAAGGTCTCATCAAAATCATGACGGTTTAATAATTAATCACCCAATATTTTTCGAAGCCAAGAGACAGCAATGTTGGTGTCTAAGCCGCCTAAAATCTTATCAAAGCTAATTAATCAATCACAAAACTATATAATAATGACAAATATTGGCCCATTTGATGCCATCTCCTAAGGTGACCACCATAATCTATGATACAGTCATATGTTCTATTGTCCTTAATCACTCATCACTACTACTTTTCACATTCTCCATTCATACTAAACTAGTATGTATCCCGTGCGATGCACGGGACATAAATATTAAATGAGTTATTTCACAGTCATTTCAGTTTAAATCTAAAAAGTAATAGGGTTATTATCTATTTTTTACCTCTTTTAATCAACATTAAGCCAAAAAAACAATAGAGTCATAAGCTTTTTTCTACATCTTTTAGCCAACGTTGTTTTTTTAGCCAGAACATTAAATATGAGCATGTTAAGGCTAGCTTGTAAAATAATTAATATATTATCTCACTAAAACATTTATACTAATAAAAATTTAATTTTAGCATATAAATTTATCCATTGATATAAGAGAAAGTAACAATTTTATTTATTTTGTTCACCATACAATATTTAATTACTATTTTCTATATTATATAATAAAAAAGAATACTGTTAAATAGTGCAGTAAAATTTTTATAAAATTATATGATTTCTTTTACAATATAGATTTAATATCTTTTTATGATTTGATAATATAACAATAATATATTCTTAATGATATAATTATTTACTTAGTATAGCTAGAATGCTGACAAATAAAAAAAACTATTAGATGCAGCCAATATTCTGCTATAAGTTAAGGTTTTCTAGTTATGATGAAGTTTTTATCCATCATATTTTTCTACACATTTATTAGATTTAAAATTTAGATGCAACCATCATTCTGAATTATGACAAAGGTTTCCGCCGAGCGAGATGCATGTCACATGTTATCTAAACTTTTTGATTTTTTTTTTTTTAGTTTGTTACTTTTAATTATCACAAATTTGACCGTGTGAATTGATTTACAACATACTGTACGTTCAATTTTACAACATACTCTACATTCAATTAAAATTGATTTTCATTTGCTAATGATTTATAAAGTTTGATTATTAATTTGACCAAATATTTTGCTTATAGATTTATAAAGTTTGATTATTATTTTGACCAAACAGAAAAGATGAACTTGTTGGATCAATGTTGTTTATCTAAACAAACATAAAAGTTTTTCATATTATTTTTTAGTCTTTATCAGTTTGTAACATTTTATCTGTATGAAACATTTTCATGATTTTTTTTTTATTCACGATTTGTTAATTCATTACAGTTTTGAACAATCTATGAAAAATATTAAGCTGCCTTCTGGCAAATATGTATGTGGTTATGTGTTCGTGTATCATAAGTCGCAAACATAATAAATAACATTATAAATTATTTATTCAAACTTTTATTCATTACAAATATATTAAAATGATTTATATAACAACCATTAAATACCACTTTTAATATATTTATAATAAAAAAGTACATAAAATTTCTAGTGTGTTCAAATTTAAATAGTTTTTGATGGGCTCAATTTTAAATCATCCAGACATTTGGTCAAACACATAGGTGTATTCAAATTTATATCATTGGCATTTTGTTCGATTGAAATTTAAATCATGTTCAATCATGGTACTGTGATGTGTATAATGTATATATATATTTAGATATATATACAATTTTTTAATAAATAATATGTGTTTTAAAAAAATAATAATAATAATTTCACAAGATTTTAGACGTAAAATCTGATTTTAATCACAATAGAAAAATCATGGTAAGTTGTATTGAAAAGGTGTTATGGGATAAAATAATTAAATAAATAATTAAATAAAATACATAATAAAAATATAATACATTAATTACCTTTGACTTTTCTTATTACAAATTATAGTAAATAAGATAGCTTTTTATATAAGTATAGATTTAATTATTTTTTTACATAATAGATTCTAAATTCTATATTGTAGAGATTCTAATCGGAAAAAACATCTATTATATATAATAGAAAGTTTGTTTAGTAAATATTTATAGAGATTCTAATCGGAAAAAAACATCTATTCCATATTTATAGAGATTCTAATCGGAAAAAAAACATTTATTCCATATTACAATATGTAATTAATGAAAGTTTGTTAAGTTACTAATTTTAGACAATAATTAATGAATTTGGCGGGAAAAAATTACTAAAAGTGAATTAAGTTAATCCTTATTATATATTAATAGATTGTATTTAAAATTCAAATTTAAGCAGACTAACCGTTAGAAAAGTCGATGCGTTATAAATTTCGAATGCAAATACGGTAATGTATCATACTTTTATTTATGCCAACTCATAAAAATACGTCAATTTAGTAATTATTTAACTGGTTTGTTATGACAAACACAACAGCATAATGATGCGATAATATATTTAATTAGTTGAATTTCGAGTGGAAACAAAACAAATGATGTATCTTAATCAATTAAGAGGATGAGTATATAAGATAATTACACATCCCATTAAAATCATAATTTAGAAGTTCTAAATTAAAACGACATCTAAAAAGAAACAGAGGGAGTATAATTTAGTATATTATATATGTCGCTTAATTTTTTGTCAATAATATTTATTCTTGTGTAAAACAGCCTAAACGTTAGTCAGGTGTAAGGCTGCAAACGAGCCGAGCCGAGTCGAGCATTGACCTTATCGAGCAGGATTGATTTTTTTTTTAGCTGCGGTTCGAATTTTTTCAAACAATTTGTAAAATAACCATTAAATACATATATATACAAGGGTATTTTAGTAATTTTATATATCTAGACGGTTCAAAAAGTGCTATGCGGTCGTGTTTGGAGTTTTTCTAACAGGTGGAGTGCCGTTTGCGAGCCGCTCGGCCATGCAAAATATGGGCTCGAGCTCGACTCGAGTTCGTGTTCGAGCCGCTCGAGCCGAGCTTTGACTCGAGCGCTCGCGAGCGGCTCACGAGCTGCTCTACTCGTTTGCAGCCCTAGTCAGGTGGACGACGTGTCACACTCTATAAATAAAAGTTTAATTATATGTGTTTATAAAACGAGTATTTCGGTTAATTTGAATTCTAATTAGTTACTTTCTGTTCTCATTATTAACTAGTATTAATAACCATGTACAACATGGGTATTGAGTTAATGAATATATGTGTATAGTTATTTATGTCTAATACCAAACCTAATTTCATAACAAAAATAATATAAAAACAACATCACGAAGTATAGATTTTTGTCATGTCAGCATTCGAAGCGTGAGAATTTGTCATCTAGGCTCAACACATTTTGTATTAACATATACATTTTGAATTAATATATAGAGAAGGATTAGTCGAATTATAGATTACCATTGTTGATTAAGACACGAGTTTAGTCCTTAATGCTAAGTCACTTTCTATCCGCTGTTTGGGATGCAGATTTTGTCCCATGGGATTATGCATTAATCTCTTTCAATTGCAAACAACTCGTTAATTAGCGTCTAATCAGGGCAATTCTTGCATGATATCACACGTAACAAAAACCGTGTTCAGGTCACGCTTCGTTTGGTTGTACTCTCTTGTTTTTTTATTTAATTAGCCGAAGAAAAAATGAGATTAGTTTAGTTAGTGATAAGATGATTTGATATAATAAATCGAATTAGTGATACCTAGTTTAATTAAACTAGCATATAACTAATTAAATTAATTGATTATGCAGAAGTTTTTTATATATAATTAGTAATTTAATATTCCTTGATCATTATTAATACGAGGAGTTAAATCAAAACACTAATATACGAGACAAAATTAATTAATTAAAATAATTATATAACTTCAAATTTTAGGAGCCTATATATAATAATGACCCCAATTTATTTAACACACACGGCCTAATTACAACCATCCATTTCAACATGGACTCTGATTAATACTAACAGTACTTTAATTAAAACACTAATTGCATGGTACTTTAAAGAGAATCCACCATACATGGCCTTCCTCACATAGACTTTTTTCAATTAATTACCATTTTTTTAATTATCATAATTAAACACAATCATAATTAATTAATTAATTAAATTAAACTCCTAATTATCGCAGCCTCCGGGCTGTCGGCATCTATGGACGACAAAAGCTGGGAAAGCCTTTCGCTTAAGTCATCAACTTCCTTGTGCAAGTTCCTTATGTAGTTGCAAGTTTCTTGAAGAACTTTATTCGCAGAAGTCTACACGATAATTATAATAATAACAAAGATTAATAAAATCTCATCGAAAAACGATTAACAACGTAGTTAATTTTGATAATATTGTACAAAACACATGCAAGAATTTCATATTCATATACAAAAAAAGAAAAAATTAAAAAAAAAAAAATAGTGCTAATTTAATCTAGTATGGTTCAATTTGTGTGTATCATATATGTATAACAAGTTAAATAACATATGGCTTGATACATAGCATTTTGTACCATGTTAAGATATGTGTGTGCATTTAAAACAATTTTTTCCCTTCATGGGCCATATAATAGTGACAATAAGGTAAATGAATTTAATGCAACTTTTTGACTATGCATAGCCTCCAAGCTTGCTTAAATTGGGTAAAATTTTGCACAAAAATTAAACAAAACATGTTGATTAATTTGTTCCATATCACATTCACAAATTGTTGTGTGGTGATTCAGGTCGACTCGTAATACTTTTCAAGTAAAAACGCATACTTACATATATATGGTTGTCTAATCGTTAGGGCTGACTAACAACAAACAAATATGACATTACTCACTACATGTAATTACATTACTTCATACATGTTCAGATTATTCTTACTTGTTCTGATAAAACGATGGAGGAACAAAAAATCTTCAACTAAAGCTGAGAAAGAACAGTAATTATTTAAATTACCCGACATTACTTATTAGAAAACAATTACGTTCGAAAAACGTAAACATTTTTACCTTGCTCGAGCGCCTAGCGTCGCGAATTTCGGGTAAAAGTTGATGCAATTTCGTGATGAGATCGATGATTTGATCATCACTAATCCTTGAACTATTGCTCGACTGTCTTGCCCTTCTCCCAGACATCCTTAAAACAAAATAAAATAACAAATGTATAACAACAATATATGATTTAGTTAAATTTTATTACACTTAATGTTGAAAACCAGAAATTTGTTGAGAGGGTTTTTTAATGCAATAAAACTAAAAAAAGAAGACTTGAGAGAAAAGTTTTTTTTTTTTGTTGGTAGTAAAGAAGGAAAAACAATGGAGGGGAAGGTTGTGTATTTATATATAAATATTTGTAGACTGAATTTTTGTGTTGGGTATAAATATACAGAGTACTGATATATGAGGTATATTATTATTAGTGGCTTTTGGAGGGTAATAAAGATAAGAAAATGATATGTACAGAGGCTATGAAAATTGGAAGGGTTATAAAAGTGGGTTAATTGGACCACAAAAGAAAGAGATTAGTCTGTGTGTGTGTGTGTGTGTGTGTG